TACTACTACTACTACTACTACTACTACTACTACTACTACTACTACTACGACTACGACTACGACTACGACTACGACTACGACTACGACTACGACTACGACTACTACCACTACCACTACCACTACTACTACTACTACTACTGCTACTACTACTACGACTACCACTACTACTACCACAACCACTACCACTACCACTACCACTACCACTACGACTACTACTACTACTACCACTACTCCTGCTACTACTACTACTACTACTCCTACCACTACTACTACTACTACTACTACTACTACTACTACTACTACTGCGCTCCGGTTGTTCCACATCTAGCACCCTCTCAGCGCCCACACCTACTCCCAAGCACACAAATCACAATGACTCGTATTTGAGATTGGAGACGAAGGGGCTGGGAATGGATTGATTGCTCCAAAGGAAGTGGAAAAACTGATTCATGGCGAATCGGTGTTTGCTACTTTATCAACAATCATATAACACGAGCACGACAGGAACTGGGTTTCGAAAAGTTGGTTCATGATCTGGTTCATAGGGTGAATAGGTAGAGAATCTATAGAGTTTCCTAGCCACCCCGGAACTGGAAAAAATACATGCGTTGCACCTGGGGAGGGAAACATGTCGGCGCTATCGTACCTGACAAGACTCCACTTTCAAGTTGCTGGGATTCCGCACATGCGCCAAGCGTGCAGCCATGGCCAATCTGGCTGTCCACTAGCACACTCGAACCATCTGGAGCAAAACCCGTGTATTGCCGCGTGACAAAAAAAACGTTTCAGTTCCGAGCGGCCGAGCGTCATGCACCAATCAAGATCCGCGATCCAAAACTGCGACTCAATGGTTTTGTTAGGTAAAGATCGCTCTTGGTTTACAGTAGGACCCAGTAGGAGGTTGATCATGGACACTTCTGGAGCAGGGATCCATACACTTGAAACCAATCCAACGTCGCTGTCATGGTTCCCGTGTCAGCGACTGTGTGGCCCAGAAGATGCTGAACCACTTAAATCATTGCGCTGGCTCTGTAGAATCTCTGCCCTTTCCTCATGTTTCACAAATATGAAACGTGGAGGCTCGGACACCCAACTCAAATCAACAATGAGCCCCGCAAAAATTTAAAACGTGGCTGGTGATACGGAACAACCAGGTGGTAGCACTGATCGGCACCTGAGCAAAGCTCAGCTGGAAGATACGGCGAACCACTACCCAAGTCCCAAACCAAGGCACCGACGCCAACCGGGCCCCGCACTACCGGGCCCCGCACTGAAATAAACGTTTCATTGGAAGACATCGTGACATCAAGTGGGAAAGTGGTAAGAACGCTGGGTTTTGGATGGCTTGTGTCATTCACTTTTAAGAGGTCACGTTGGTTTTTCGTGTGTCCAGGTCAAGCTTCAAAGGCATTTAGGGTTGTCAGGTCACTCAGAAGAAGTTGGTTTTGACAAAGGGCTCCGAAAACCAACGTTTCTTCGTCTTCCCGGGGGGCAACCGGCAACCTCCTTCCAGAGATCTCCCTGCACGTTGCGTTGAAAGTGAATCTCTATCTAGCGTACAGTCACGGCCGCGTCGACGCAAAGAAGTCCGCCGGCGAGCGCGTGACACATCCACGGCCCCAGGAACTATGGGAGCGCGTAAAAAATAGTAAAGGTCGTGACAGTTTGCACGCGCAACAAGACACAATTTGGAGGTCGGTCGGATGAACGTTTGCGAAGTAAGGACGTGGAGTGCGAAACCCAGGTCGACCACAAGAAGCCAGCAACCACCTAGCCCTTCCCAGTCCAACAGGTCTGTGTCCACGACGGTAACAATAGTGGCAACGAAGTTGGAAAGAGAATCAAATGGCAGAACGAAATGTCCAAAACGGAGTCCAAAAACCCAAGGATGGATGGCAAAAAGTTCTTAAACACAGGGTGGTTCTCGAAAGCGGAAAAGTATACGGGCTCAAGGCACTTCCACGGCTCCTCACACTCACAGCACCAGAAGTCCTTCGTGGACTGGGAGAAGCAATCCTACGTTGCACCGAGAGTCTCCTTGCCTCTCTGAACGACTCAGACAATCGTCGCAAACTGCCACAAACTGTGAAGCGCGACAACCAAACGCCCTTAGCTAAGATGCGTGGCCTTACCGCGTCCTACGCCAAACGAATCGATCCGAGCAAGACCAAAAACTAAACAACTCCACAAAAACAAGTGCCACGCGAACACGGCAAATCTCTTTCTCTCCCTACAGATGAAAACTCAGCAGTTGTGAAGCGCTCCAAAACGGAGCCTCGATTTTCGAAGACTACAACATCTTGAGATGGTCCAACCAAAACAACTCACAATTCGCAACGCTTCACATGTACTTGAAGCGTATTACAGGGACGAGGTCGAACCGAAGTGATTCTCATCACACAAAATGCCCCCTCATACTGACCACGAGTGGTCAAATCAAAGCTCACATTGGCCCACAAACAAACAGATCATGCATGCATCAGGTCTGACATCTAGCCAGCAAACATAGCATCTGAGGCAGCAAACGAATCACGCCCTAAAGAGCGCGCATCAAGAGTGCCACGCCGTGAGAAATTGCCCATGATAATGAAGCAGCACAAAAACACTCCACGGTCAACGACCACCGATCCAGCATGGGTACAGCTAAGAGAATGGCCAACAACCATTGAGCTAGCAAAGAAGCCACACTGTAGATGCCACCATGCACTTCCACAACCAAGACCCTGCAGTGTTGGTTCCGGGGATGACAACAGGCATCTGTTTCCCATCTGCCCTTCCCAAGCGTCCCTCATAGGTCCTATTCGAGGGGTAGATGCTAAGGCCGAGATCTAGACGTATATGGTGATGGTGGTGGCGATGGTGATGATGATGATGATGATTATGGTGGTGATCGTGGTGGTGGTCGTGGTGATGGCATGAAGGTGGTGTTGAAGGTGGTGGTGAAGATGGTGGTGAAGATGGTGGCGCAGATGGTGGTGTGTAGATGGTGGTGAAGATGGCAGTAGTTGTTGGTGGTGGTGGTGATGGTGATGGTGCCGGTGGCAGCGGTGATGGTGGCAGCAGTGGTGGTGGCAGCAGTGGTGGCGGTGATGGTGGTGATGGTGAACGCTGTTTAGCCCTGTGCATTGCTCACCGTCTGCTTCCCACTCGCCGGCCTGGCCTGAAGAATGACACGTACGCGTCTCTCCTGTATTCGGCGATCACCACACATGAGATCAACCCAACTTAACATGGGACGATTCATGGTCAACAAGTGAAGTGACCTAAAGGTGCGCAAGGGTATTGGCATAGAAAAGCATGCTTTCCGCAAAAGACCCACGGGGCGCAAAATCGAAATGCCCACGCGATCCCTACAGCATGATGCAAACGAATTTGCCTCAAAAGGCGATCAAACAGAATTGTCACTGCATCTAAGAGCTGCAGGAGCGGTATCAGGCATGCAAAGACAAGCAGAAACAGATGAACCAACCCAAAGCACTTCTACTTTCATCAGTCTGATATTTGGGTAGCACAAATGACATCGCATCTGTGTGTTGAACCAGGCATCAGCAAGCTCAAGACAATGATCCCAAACATGGTTCTCGAGCCATCAGATGATCTAGGTACTCTTGCTCGCTTCGTCGCACTTCCGCCAAAGGAGAAGTCCGGGTGCACGGAGTGGTCGTAGAGCGAAGAGCACACCATGTCACGAATGAACTGCGCCTGCCACGAAGTCTGCACATCGAACTACTCCGATCCCCTGCACCTGGCACGAAGTCGACTTTGTACCACAAACACGAGGTTTCCCTGGTGCCTGCCACCAGAAAGTCACCACCAAGTCCGAAAACGCGCACGGCACCACAACGAGAGCGCAGTTGAGAAGAGCACCCGCGCCAGCCCACCAATTTCTGCGAGCCTGCGCACTCGAAATGCTTTTCGAAGATCTCGGTGAATAAATGTACTGATGCACTGAAAATAGCAGCGAATTAGCGGAATGCGCACCCCTCTGATCAGAACCCGGCCTAAACTACTACCGTATGACCCCCTAGTGTTGGCACACTGCTTGGGGGAAATTGTGCCCCGGTTGACGTCTCAGGGTGAAGTATATACAGTAAGGGCCTGAGGAAGGAAACTTTGAAGTCAAAATGGCATGGTAACCAGTAGCTATCCTGGACCTAAGAACTTTAGGAATGAAATGATGCAAATTCGCCACCTGAACTGAACAGGAAGAAAAACAAAAATGATTTCTCCGGGTCCTGAAAAGTTGGGGTGATTGAACTGTGTGTTCAGACCAGTTAGGACTGCTGTTGAAGTGGAGGCAACAGAACTGATATTGCCCCAAAGAATGGCATGCAAAGTGTTCGCCCTTTCTGAGACTTGCGGAACATTTTTAGAGACTAGTGTTCGAGTGCAAGAAGCAGGAATTACCTATCAACTAAGTCGGAAATTGTCTACTGAATGCCTTTAGAGCTTCTTATCCAAGCTTCCCGGCTCCAGCAGGTTTCCATCTCCCATGCGCTGACCTCCCTCTCCCAGAACCTTGACTCCCACCTGCCAGGGGCCAACGAGGTTGGTGATCTGCAAGAAATTGTCAAAATTGGAGGAGGCACTTTCAACTCAAGGAACTTTTGAAGCTCTGTTCTTACCTCAAAATGAAACTGATGACTAGATTGCGGTACATGGTCTCGAGCATGAGCCTCCAGCATATTGTGATCGCCGATCACAAGAGGTACTTCTGAGGAGTTGACAATCTCAACCTGCTCCTGAGCACTTGGAACACACCATGAGAGCTGCCATTCAAACAACCGCTCGAAAAGTGGTGTGAACATCGTGTCACCTTAGCTTCCTTTTTCACACAAATCTTCTGTTTGCCTTTCGAGGCCTCAATGATGTTGAAGGAGCCAATGACAATGGGTCCAGCCTGCATCTGCATTCAATCAACAAAAACGACTGACCATTGATCAGGTCACAACCCTGCAACACCATCTCTATGTATATGGATACCTGATACCTATGTACTTGTCAACCAATTCCTCCAAAATGTGTGATAATGGTGGCTGCATCATCAGCATCAGCATAAACGTCAACAAAGCCAAAAAGCAAAAGCTTCCCAAAATCACCACTCAGGTTGTATCCTGAGCGTTGATCAAACTGGCAGGATGAATCACCTGGAGGCCGCAATTGCGGTGGTGGACTGGGCTTTGAAGAGGTGCTGTGCGCTGCTCAAGTTCGCCAATCACGCACTGGGAGACCAACTCTAGAGACCCTCAAACCATGCCTGTAATTCATGTATATAGCCTCTGTGAATAAAGCCAACTGTAACACTAGAAGTCTTCCCGGGCTGAGCGACCAGCTGTTCCCTGGCCAACTTTAATGCTATGCACTCCTTGAACCTAAAACAAACAGCAATGTGCCGTGTCCCATGCTTCTGTGCAGTCACACTTGGATGCACATGTGGAAAAGGAAAATTAATAATGCAATACATAAAACAAAACAAATAAGTCCAACTCGAATGAACGCAATGTGTGCATGGAATGTATATCTGTCCAATAGGAACCTTCCAGCTAGGCCTGGAAGAACTGCAGTTCAAAACACCAGTGCTGAACAGGCGGTGCTGTCCTTCGCCTCCTGGCAAACCACGGCATCTTTCTGCACTTCAAACCTTGGTTCCACAGCTCGTCATTTCAAGCCTTGTCATGTCCGCAAATAGAAGCAAATCCAAGGATGGGAAGGACAATGCACGAAAGTGTTTGACTTTGCTGGTCACCAACCCCTAGCTTTGGACAAGAAAATATGGAGAGAGAGAGAGAGAGGACCAAAACACCATGTCTGTGCGCCCCTGCGGCACTGTGGGTGCGGCCACAGTCTTTGCAGCCATCACAGGAGCCAAGCTCCAACGTCAGTTTTGGGCGTCCAACAAGCAAATCATTACAGTAGCCTCCTGTGAAGTTCAGGCTGCAGTGGGTCTTTCTGTGATGGATTTGTACAATGGGAAATAAATGGCGCTGGAACCAGTAAGGTTAACTCTATTGCAATGCAAAGACTAGGTTTGGCAGGAAGGTGAAATCGAACTCCTCGAGCCGACAGGAATGAACACACTACAAGTGTACAATGGAGTTTATCGATCTATCCGCATAGGATTCAGCTTTCCGGAATGACTTCTAGCTGTGCACAACTCTATATCAAATCACTCAGTCTACCCAACTGGAATGATTTACTTTGGAAGGGTGCATGATTTCTCCTCTGACTCGCGAACACTTTCCAGGAATCCAACACGTGTGTTGAACGTGCAGGTCAGTTCAACTACTTGCCAGGAAAAAACGACCCATACAACAGAACGACTGGGAGAGTCTGACAGTTATATAATGAGTGTGGCCAACTTGTCTATGGCCGTTCTGGCAAAGTATTGCGTGCACCTTCTGCCTGGAAGGTAATGAGAAAAGATTTAAGGCAAAGGCCGTCACCTTGAAATGTGGCCTTATGCTGGGCATTCCATGACATAGATTCGAAGCATCGTGATGCTGAAGATTATTGGATAAAGTTAGACAATTCCGAAGCATTCATGCTCTACTGGGCAGGTTCTAGCAGATCGGATTGGTTCAAACTGAATGTTTTCGTTGATGAGTAGCTGATATATCGCTGGACTAGCCCATTGTAGGCAAAAAACAACCGTCACCTTTCTGCCCATGCTACTTGCCAGCCTGTCGGTGCAGATACCGCGAAAGGATCGCAAGTCATAGCGGTCCTTTCAAGCAAAACTGCAACCTTGCCTGACAAGTGATCCAGTAGAGATGGACAGCTTCAAGGCTCTTGGGCAGTTTCTGAGCAGTCCATGCCGCTTCGAAACTACAGCGGAGCCATTCCTCATACCTGGATGCTTCACCCTACACAAAGGCACTCTGGCAAATAGCAGGGGAAAGCAGCAAGAGCTACAGACTCGGAGAAACATCACCGGGCACCTAAACAGCCACAGGCGTTCCCATCACGAAGCTTTTGCCTTCAAATTTGAAGTCATCAGCCAAACGCATGATTCTGCTTCGACACTCGCTTTCAAACAGGCACTGGCGTGCAAGGAGACTACTGACT